TATTATTATTATTATTATTATTAATATTATACTTATTATTATTTTAAGGAGAAGATAGAGAAATTGGGAGGAAAGAGAGTGTAGATATTAATGAGGAGAGAGGAGAGATAGTGTGAATATTAATGATGATAGAGAAATGAGTTGTTGGAATAAAATATATAGGTTAGTAGTAGGTTTTAGTAGGTTTGAAAATTGGAAAAAGTATGAATAGTGTATTTTCAATAGAAATTTGATAAGAAAAAATGGGAATTTCTGGATAAAATTGTGAAACAAACATGATCTCGGTTTTATGAATAGTATAAAACTGGAAAGTGGGTTTGGAAATGAAACCAAACATCCCCATAGTCTCTACTCTTTGCCCAGATTAAATAATAATTAAGCAGCTGGAAAAAAATAAACTGAGATCTTCTCACTTTCCGATTCCGGCGTGTCTTCCCCGCCGGACAACCGCCGTCTCCAATGTTTCCGAGATTGATTCATCCTCGCGACGCCATTTTAAGCCAAGAGAACATTCAGGTGCCCAACAGCAGCGGGTATGGTCAACGGGGCGACCCGTGTCTCGTCCTCACATCCGACCCGAAGCCCCGACTCCGGTGGACCGCTGACCTCCATGAGCGCTTTATCGACGCCGTTACTCAGCTCGGTGGCGCAAGCAGTTAGCAATTAGCATAGCATTCCTCTTCCTTATCATTTTTTTATTAATTATATTTGGCTGTGTTTGTGTGTTTATTTTGGTTCATTAGTTACTTCAATAATTTGATTATCAAACACAATGTGAATTTCTGTATCTCTAAATTGCTTGGATCTCTAAATTATTTGATTATCTACTGGAATTATTAGGTTTTTCTACAGTAAAGAAGTTTGGGATAGTTGTATATTCCTGTTAACTAGAAATTCTATCCCAAACTTAGTGCTGGTTTGGTTATCTCCACTCTGATAATACATATGTTATTAGTTATCTAAACTGTAATGGTTAACTTTATCAGGCTAGGTTTATTATAATGGTCAATGGAAAGTATGATGTTGTGAAATTTTAGTGGCTACGTCTATTAGTTCTTCGTTATTAAGGTTGACGTATGCTTATGACATGAGGCGCTCTGTTCCGGCACAATTGAATATACAAATTCATGCGTAAAATTTCGAAAATCTTCCTGCTAAGAGAATCTCTCCATTCTGGCATTAACTTGTAAATAATTAAGAATGTATCCAAGATTTTTGGTCGGTTCATCGAGAAAACACTACTAATCTAGTAGTTGATTTATGCTGGATCAAAGAGTTGAGTTGTGGTATATGCAATTTCAGTTTCTGTATATCCAAAAGGCGGGATGAATATATGTCATATTTGTTTGCTTATGTTTCTACATCTGTGTCATGAGTTTGACTAATCACGGCACCAATAACAGACCAAATGCTCACATACTTTGTAGTTTTTGTAGATTAGAAGACTTCTCATACTTTGGCACTTTTTTTTTTCTTTTTTTTTGCAGAAGCTACTCCAAAAGCTATTCTGCGCACAATGGGTGTCAAGGGATTGACTCTATTTCATTTGAAGAGTCATCTCCAGGTTTTGCTTTCTTGTATTATCGAATCAAGGATCCAATTCTTTTCGTTTGAATGCGCATTATTTCTCCATGGTGCTTTACATTTTCACCCTTACTCTTCCAACTTGTTTGATTAGATTGTTTCATAATGGCAGAAGTACAGATTAGGAAAGCAATCCGGGAAAGAATTCGAGGCTTCAAAAGATGGTAGGTCCAGTTACCTTTGGCTGTCGTCATTAGAGTGACTTTACTTAATCTATATGTCCTACCTAATCGTTCGAACATAGGATATCATAATCCATTAATTTAATGTTTCCTTGAAGAAAGTAGTGAAGAATAAATCCTTAGTATAATACCTAATGGTCCATGCATGCCCAATTATGAACCCAAAACAAAGACGAAGATGGAAGAGTTACAGATAACACAGCTTTCAGCCAAAAAGGACAGGCCATTTTGATTATTATCAACTTATCATGATAAAATTTGGTTTACGAAGCTTCTAATCAAGAACTTTATATTCTGATATGAAAATTGAAATAATGATTTTTCGGGACTTTCCAGGTGGGTACCTTTTGGATAGCCCTGGTGCCAGCAATTCTTCTCAGAACTTATCAGCATCTGACATAAATGAGTAAGCGTTTGAAACATAGTCCACTAAATTCTTGTATTATACTGCAATCGGAACATACGGTTTTCAATGACTGGATGGTATATATTTAGGGGTTATGAAGTCAAGGAAGCATTAAGAGCACAAATGGAAGTCCAAAGCAAACTACACTTGCAAGTAGAAGTAAGCATAATATTTTACATTGTAGAAATTTCGGAATTAAATTTCGGAATTAAATTTCGGAAGTAAGCATAATAATTTAAATGAAAACCAAGTTCTAGTTGATTGATTCTTCCTTTTAACCTTGGTTCCGCAGGCAGAAAAACATTTGCAGATTCGACAAGATGCTGAGAGAAAATACATGGCTATGCTGGAAAGAGCATGCAAGATGCTAGCTGATCAGATACTCGGTGGAAATGACGATGGAGATTGTTATCAGGGAGGAAAAGCAACACAGGCAATAATGCCTAATGGTCCTCAAAATCCACTCTTGTCATATGCATCACAATCTGCGAACGAGTTGGGGGTCCCGCCCCCCTTAGAAATGCCTCCAAATCTACGCCAACAACTTGCCGATTGTTCCACCGAAAGCTGCCTTACTTCACATGGGAGTCCCGTGGGATTGCCTGCAGAAGGGTCTTCGCCTGGAGGAAAGAGAGCGATTCTAAATGTTGGCTCCACAAATGCCTCGTTTGTGTGGAGTGAATCTGACGTGTACAACCCGGTTTGCATATAGTACGACTGTACGAGGTAAGTGTATTGCTTGTTTTGGGGGGAGAAGTGGCGGAAAAGCTTACTAGGTCTAACTAAATCACTTATTTACAAGCTGTAAATTAAAGCTGCTGGATGTTTTGTTGTCAAGAATGGTGACTTATTTCTTCTTGTGTTCCTTATTTCATCGTTGCCACGTGTTTCTTTTTTCCTTTTTTTATTGTCAACATTCAGTTTGAACTTTGTTTTCGGTATGTGTTTAACCTTGGTAACTGATGTTGTAAATGGAGTTTCTCGAACGAAGGTGTGGAATTTTCAAGAAAGTAAGGCCCTTATGTTTTGGCCGGGACTTGAGAAAGCATTGATTCGGCAGCGTTTGGCTGTTTGCCGAAGCACTTGTGAATAGATTACTTTTTTTTCTTCTTTAATGTGTTTGCTTGCAAACAGCGTAGAAATCGAACGGAATTGATCAAAAAATGTTTTCTTCTGTCAAAAAAAAAAAAGAATATTAAATGCCAACTAAAGTAGGGGAGTATCGTTTCACAAAACCCAGTAATTAAAATAAAAAAAGAATAAAAAAGAAATACACCATAGATGTGAAAGGTCACTGAATAAACAATCTATTACAACTTTGATTTCAACAAAGTGACAAGCTGGCAGCTAGCTAAGGTGGAAATTCACGTCGAAATAATAATAATTAATTAATAATCTTCTGTTTGTAGTAATTAAAAAAATAAAAAAAAAACCCGCATGCTTCCACGTAGGCAAAGCCCCCCTCCCCCGGAATATAATCTAAAAGATTCCGTGGCCGGTCAGTGTCGTCATCTTTGTCGTTTTCCGTCTGTTCTGGCCCTTGTTGGGTGGGAAACCGGGCAGCACTCTCCTGACCGCGGGCAGTTTTATATTATTCACCAAAATTACAATTTCGTCCCCAAAAATAAATAAATTTGCAGTGGTGATAATTGATTGGTTGAATTCTTGTCTGACAGAGAAGACTAACCCACCCAGTCAGTGTGGACCGATGAAGACCAGTCTCTTCTATGGCTGGTTTTAGGCCTGTGGTCCTTTAACCCCCTTTCATTTTTTGTATCCATTATTATAATCATCATAAATATTTTTCACTTTTTATTTTATTTTATTTTCTTTTGATAAATATATAATAATGGCTCCTCTCATCTGATTTAAGACTGGTATATAAATTTAAAAAAAAAAAAAAAAAAAAAACAATATTTGCAGAATTCAGAGCAGTTGAGCACTCCCCCCTCTCAGCTCAGAGGACTGCTTATTTTTCAGTCTTCATTTCATTGCTCTCCCAATTAATCAGGCAGCTCAATCAAATAAATTTAATATTTGTTCTGAGGATTATTAGGTATCGGAATTTGAATCAGCTGCAGCGATTACAGCATGGTTGCGTTCAATTGGTGGTGCTGCTGAACGATTTGGAGGAACGAAGTTCATAGATCTGGGTACTTTGTATTTTTCACTTTCTCTCTCTCTATTTTTTTCCTGTTAATTTGTACCCGCTTTTTCTGGAATTAAGTGTATGATGGCGCGGTTTTGGAGTTTGTTCAATTTTTTATTTTTATTTTTTCAAATTTTTTTGGAGCATTTTGATTTTTGAAAATGTTAGGTTTATGTTTGCCTGCTGCTAAATTTGTTAGCTTCTGATCATGTTCTGATAAATGTGCAATTTTTATAGCCTTTTGTTTTCCCCTCTTTCATGGTTCATCACTACTGGTTACAGGATAATTCCACCTGCATCCTTAAATTCAAGGTCATCGATAATGACTTATTAATGACATGTTTATATTTCATTGTAGTTTCATTGTGTTTCCGATTCCTGTCTAAGCGTCTTTTGCTCTAAGTATATACAAATATCTGCAGTTGATTCTCAATGCATGGATAATTATCTGTTCATCGTTATCGAATGTTTATTTACCCCTTTGTTCAGGTAGTTAGTAGCAATCTTAGTTGTTTGAAGTCAGCAATTATCAGACTGCGATGCGAGTGCGATGGATCCTATAAGTGGAGCTAACAATATGAGCAGCAATTCGAATTTGGCCTCGAAGCAGAGGCTTCGTTGGACGCATGAGCTGCATGAACGATTTGTCGATGCTGTAGCACAGCTTGGTGGGCCAGATCGTGAGTTCTCGTCATTCTAGATAACGTTTCTTTGACCCCACGTATATGATAAAGAAGTTAACATAAAAGGAAAAGATAACTGATAAGTACTCAAACACAATTAAGATGTAATACATATGGAAAGATAGAAAATACAGAAATAAAAATGCTAAGTGCAATTATGTAAAGTTAGGTTTCAAATTTATGTCGATATAGCCCACTTTGCTAGGCAACTCGGAAAAGGGAATAAGAGCCTCTATGTATGTCTTAAACACGTTGCATTACTATAGTACCTAGAAACTGTTAATTGTCAGAGACTTTGTGAAGTAAGATTCCGATGGAGAAAGTTTATAGCAGTCTTCGTTCGCATAAGGAAAATGCTGATATTTTGTTGATGTCTATCAGGAGCTACTCCTAAAGGCGTTCTCAGAGTTATGGGAGTTCAAGGGCTAACGATTTACCATGTAAAAAGCCACTTACAGGTATGCATGCCATGTAATAAATATCTTTCATATCGTTCGATGTCTCTGTAGATGTTTGTCTCCTTCGAAGGTCGAACTAATTTTAATCGTCACAAACAGAAGTACAGGCTTGCCAAGTATCTTCCAGATTCTTCTTCTGATGGTAGGTTACCTTACTAATTGAGTCCTTTGTAATGGCGTAGATTTTACTTACTACTCGTTGTTATATATTTTATTATTTCTGATGTCCCGATATTCTTGGAGTGAATTCTCCTTTGCCAGTCAATTCATTATTACGTTTTGATTTTTGACTTGAGCTTATGTACAAGGGAAAAAAGCCGAAAATAAAGAATCTGGAGATATCCTTTCGGGCTTGGATGGTTCATCGTAAGTTGAAACTCCTCCTTTCTCACTTTCGTCATTCTTTCAACAAGGCCCCCTATTGATATATATCAGCCCGTTTTATTGGTTTATCTGGCATTAAGTGTTCCAGTAATCATTGTTTGTTTGTTGTTTGTTATATGGATCCAGTGCTATTATATTAATCATTATTTCATTGTTATACAAAGCAATCCTCTGATACAAGAAGTTGTTCTCTTTGCTTGTAGTGGAATGCAAATCACCGAAGCACTCAAACTGCAGATGGAGGTTCAAAAACGACTGCACGAGCAATTGGAGGTATATATGCATATTCCTTTTAAATTATTTCCGCTTATTATTAACACGAGTATACAATTTAGAAATACTTGTAATGAATCCGTACAGGTGCAAAGACAGCTACAATTGCGAATAGAAGCCCAAGGAAAATACTTAAAAAAGATAATCGAAGAACAACAGCGCTTAAGCGGAGTTCTTCCCGAAGCACCTGGCACAGAGGATAATAAGATTTGCCCAGAATCCGATAATAAAACCGATCCAGCAACACCCGCTCCAACATCAGAATCACCGTTTTCAGACAAGCCACCCAAAGAACACACCCTTGTAAAGAGTCTCTCTCTTGATGAGTCATTCTCCTCTCACCATCACGAACCATTAACCCCTGATTCTGACTGTCACGTGACTTCACCGGTCGAGGCCCCCACGAGTGATGATGTGGCGTTTGCGAAATCGGAGATGGTTAATCTCGGCCATTCGATTCTGGAGTCGAGCTTGAGCCCTTGTTACAATCAACAGCAGCAGCATTCGGTTTTCTTGACGAGACAGCAGTTTGATTGTTCTATGGAAGTGCCAGCTGGCGGTGAAAATACGATGGAGAAGGTGTCTGGCGGCAATGTGTAAATTCGTAGTGGGTGCAATGTTTAGCTTCGATATTTGTGCTGCTCTACTCGATTGTCTGTTGTTCTGTGTATTAAGAAACCTTATTCATATGTAGAGACGTTAGGAAGAGAGAGTGTCAGATTTAGAAAACGTTGTATTTCGGGATGTTTTTATGAAGTTGTGTTTCGATAAACGGGTGAATGTTCATATTAGAGTCGAAGTTGTTGCGTGGCCTTTCAGCTTCGTATTTAGATTTTAGACATTAAATTTTCTTCTAAGATTTCTTGTGAAGAATATATAGGTTAAAGAAATAGAACACTTAATTTGTTGTGTGTCGAGAAACAATATGCAAACTGGGGTTGGCCTAACAATAAATCAAATTTGGCTTTTCTTCAGAAAATACAAAATATAGGGAAGTGAAAACTAAGAAAAGACATCCTATTCTAAAACAAACAACACCAATGAGGGAAGCTATGTCTGGTCATGATGAACTATTTCTTCTGTGATTCACTCTCTTGAGGATGCAAAGACGAAGGCGCTGGCTTAGAGCTTCCAGCTTTTCAAACTTGTCGCGTTTCGACTTCTTTGTGCCCGACGACACACCTTCCAATATCTTCGTCTTCTTCTTCTTCTTGCTCTTACTGCTATCGTCTGTCGGAGAACTCAACGTTGCACTTTGCTGCTGCGGATTTCGAATAGGAGTAACTTGCCCCTTTATTGTCGTCTGCCAATTGTGAACAACATTTTCGCATCAACAAAAAACACTAAAGAATAGATACACACCACACTCTAGAGAGAGAGAGAGAGAGAGATGGTTACACTAGGGCAATCGGTAAAAGGTACGTCATCGCTGCCAAGAGATGAGCATCTTCCCCAACTTTCTCTATTTGAGCTAGTGTACGAGCAACACTCTTCGTTTTGGCCGCTAGCCTTTTCCTAATCAAAATTCAAAATCGAGCCTTTTAATATACGAAAACTTGTAGCAAAGTCCACCCGCCCAAGTAGCTATAGAATCAAGTACCTGTACAAGTGATGTGCCACTCCCGCAAAGTTCGGCATCTTCCATAGCCAGGGCATCCTGCAATAATAATCAAACATAAATGAAAAAAAAAATACTTTTTTACCATTCGGTTATATAGTTTGAATATATTTTTCATCAATTTTATTACAAAGGGTACAATTTCAAATTTACATTACAAACAGGTGCAATGTCGGAGAGTAGTTCCCCAACAGACTTTGTAGCTGATACACTACGCGGTGCAGATGAAGAACTTGTTGCCTCGGCACTCACATTCCGAAGCCCCGCTATTATTTCATATAAAATATTCTGAAAAAAAATAAATAGCTATAAAAGACGTACTACAGAACTGCCATGTACTTACTTAACGAAAACAATTCACGACAGGCAAAATTTACCTCTTCCACACCAGAACCGACTTTCACATCTCCCAGATCGTAATATTTCTCAATCTTGGTCGAATACGGAGATGGAAGTTTCGGAGGATGAAGAACATTGTAGAAGAATATAGATACAGAATCGTAATAAAATTGAGGTCGAGATGAATTGTGGTCCCCGTCAAACTTTATAATATTTTTGTCACCCTGCAAAGAGCGCAATGAAATTTATTACACTATCATATGAACATATTCATAAACCGCAGATGTGTAGAATATGAACGCACCGCGTACGACTTAAAGATAGCATCGGAATGCCGAGGTTGAACAAATTTGTCGTCTTTTGCATGCCCAAATAAAGCGGGAATAAATGTCTTCGGTGCAACCTGCTGATTACGAAAATCGAGACGCATTAGTACCAAAACAATTATTTTGAGCATAGTACAGAACAAGGTTTGAGGAAATAAATCAAGAATCTTTGATAAGAAGAGACCTGTACGCAATCGAGCCGCATGATATCGAATTTGGCCCTCTTTTGAATTATTCGTCGCATGTACTGAACAGCCATCTTAACCTGTGGTTGAATAACAATCATAATTCATATGTACGCATTTTCTATCATTACAGACAATTTAAACACGCAAACTTAGGTTATAAACGAAAAGATAGTAACAGAGGGCATTACGGTAAATTTCGGAAGGCGGATTTTGTACACATCTGCAAGTTCAAGCATGAGATTGAACAAGTTAGAGAAGGCACTATCCAACACCATTCCAGCTATGGAAGGGTCTTCTGATCCATAAAGAAGGCTGCAGAAAATCGATGAGAGGATATAATAAGTAATTTTAGCATCTATGGAACCTCTGGCAAGAATCATTCAGAATATTCTATGAAGAGCAATTTATACAAAAAAAAAAGTCAGCAACCTCGTCACGGCACCCATTGACCTTCCCCATAGACCAATACGTGATATCTTCTCGTTGCTCCTCAAATGTGATATCACAACCTTGAGGTCATTTTTCTGAGATTCAGACAGGATTGAATCGGTCGTGGAATTCAATAATACACCATCAAGTAAATGTAGACAAAAAAAATAGAAATAAATGAAAAATACCTCATGCCAACCAAGACTGACATAATCTCCATCGGATAAGCCGGAACCCGAAAAATCAAGAGTAAATACCGTGATATTTGAAGGCAGAAGAACTACAGCTGCCTCATTCGCATCCGCTCTGCAACCACTGCACGATAGATAAAAAGAATAAGTTTTTCCACTAACTCGTACGAACACAAAACACTCATCATTAAAACCCATTCAGTTTACATTAACTTTTACCTGTTTCCATGACAATATATAACACAAGGAAGAGGAGAATCGTCTGGGAACTGTGAAGGAACATAGTGGCTACATCTTAAGGTATGGCCTCTTTCATTCGTAAGCTGCAAAAAACGAGACAATACTATCAAACACTTGACAAGATCAGGATCCGAAAAAAGCTTTGAATTCGAACATCTTTATTAGTTAAAAATGTAAGAGAAACGTTTGTGGTAACTGATTGCCCATACTTGCCTCCACGTCTTCTCTTTTGTACTTTCTTCCTGCTAGAGTAAAATCCTTTTCCCATAGATACTGATCCGGATTGTAGTCGGCCCTGCACCCCGTAGCCATTTAATTACAATTCAATAGATTTTGAAATTGAGGATCTCAAATGAAACGTATAAAAAAGTAAATGTACGGCAAATTTTCAATGTAACAGTGAATTATACCCAGTCATATCTATCAAATTTTAACATAAAAGGAACAAAATTGAAGTCTAATGAAAAACCTGCTTATTAAGTTAACTTTTGAGTGTCATAGAAGTGAACATGCGATTAATCGTCTATGTCGAATAAAGAATAACTCACGTACTAATTAATCAATCATACGATCTTTCACATTTTCCCACAAGTTTCTGCCTAAAAGAACTTGGTTACGTTTTACTTATTTTTCCAGTTCCTATCTGATTGTTAATGGGAATTCATTGTAAAACAAAATATATCTAAAACCAAATATATCTAGATACGACGAAATAATTTTACCATTTCAGTAACAGAAACATTTATTTTCCCGAATCAAGTTCCACTACACAATTACTTGACTATTTCAAATAGTAAACGAAACGTGAAAGAAAACAAAATCAAGAAAGCAGGATAATATACCTCGGTGGCCTAATGACAAAATTGATAAACTGATCGATCATTTTGAGCAAAAACAACTGGAGCAGCTATTTCCAAACTACGGAATTCATTTCCCACCCATTTCGGAAAAGCGGATGGTTCTACTTCTCTATCTCTACACGTAAACACTACCTACCGAGAGATTTACCGAACCAGGTTCGAAACCAAGAAAGGAACCCTCTTGATCCTTGTATCAATAATAAGAATCTATAACCACAGTCTAAATTCAGAAGCAACAGCAGAAGAAACAGAACCCACCAAGAGCAACTCTGAACATGCAATAAAAATTAAATCTTGGGCTAAATTCTCACAGCTAATGACTGATAGTTCAAATCCCTAAAAAACTCTAATTTCCTAAAAGAAACCCTTTTTCTTGTGTAACATGAATCTTTGCCAGCTCAGCTCCTGCTATATCTGAATCAGATACGAAAAGAGGGTTTAAATCGAAGAACCCGGAGTACTTGTGTGTACTTAAGCTAGGTATCGCCCATGAATAATTTAAATTTGGCTAAATTTTGACAGATCTTGGAAGTTAAATTTGAAAAGCTCCTATTTTTTTAATTAAAAAAATGGAAAAGAGGGGAAAAAGGCAAAAAAGGAAACAAAGAAGGAAGGCCAAGGGCTCGATCTGAAGAACAAGAGCCCTTAGCCACACAAAATTAGGAATAAATTTAATCAGTAATTTGTTCCTCTCTTGGAAATGCAATTTGTTAAAAGATAAAAAAGAACCCGGACAAGAACACTAAATTTTTCTAGTACTGTAAGCTTCAGCTGGTTTTTTTTTTTTTTTTTTTTTTTGTGTAGGAGAGAGAGAGAGAGAGATAAACTTGACCAGGTCTTTTGCGATTTGGAAAGAAGATTCAAAACGAGAGAGAGATAATTTAGGGGGATTTGCGGTCAATTGAGGAGAGAGAGAGAGAGAGAGGTAAAGTTTAAACGGAGGTGGTGATTGAAAAAAGTTGGGCTACAAGCTACGGCGGAGGAAGGTGGAGTTGCTGGAGTGCGGTGGTGGTTGTGGTAGTTGGCAGATAAAAAACTGCTTATGGATTTTTTATGGAAATGGCGTTTTGGTGTTCGAAAAAAGTAACAACGTTACAGCTACGGACCACAATTTTCCATAAGACAAAAAACCCAACCCAGTGCTATGTGCCTTCTTTTATTTTTTTTTTTTATTTTTTTTTTTTTTTATTTATTTTTATTATATTTTTTTCATACTACAAATGCTAATTTGCATGTGTAATTGGAGTACTTGAACACCCTGTGCTGTGTTCAATTACACCTATGTCCACAGACAGCCAAACAAGCCTTTAAGATCTCAACTAACTCCTGCTTGGGCTGCTTGTTCACCTTTCCGTTTATACACGCACAATTTGCAAACGGAACGAACTTCACCACCCGAATCGATAACGGCCGCTATTTAACGAACGAATTTCCTAATTGGCCGACGGAATCATTTTTTTTTCTTACTTGATGCACATCACTCTAATCCTAATAATGCCAATCATTTGGTGCTAAGGCATGTAAGAACAAAACAAAAGCCAAATGGGCAGACATGCTTAAAGAAATGCTGAAGCATGTGAACGTACTCTCGTGTTTTTTACCTTCATCCGGTGTTTTTTTGTCTCTGTGCCTTAGTTTATTACAAGTGTTTGGGAATATTAAAATGCCACAGTTGAAGACATAGCTCATCAGCATCATCATATATATATATCTTATGTAATATTTAAGGTGAAATGTCGCAGTCTCGACTCTTGGGAGTTCAAGTAAAGTGGGCTTCCCTTCACGTAACGGAAACTTCAAAATTCGGTAAGTCAATTTATGCTGATCTGTCGCACAATTGCCATGACAGCTCAATTTGCCCGACCACCTTTGTGTACTAACGGTGGGGACGACACACCTTTTTCTTGATTCCTTCTTCTTTCGTTCTTTTTTTCTGTAGAGACAGAAAGATACAGAATTATAAGGTCAATATATACGAAGAACAGTAAACACTCGACAGGAGCAAACTACATAACTAATCGTGCATTATCTATTCAGAAATCGCCTTCAATTGTTATCATGTTCAAAGCTGCACGAGTTTTTAATTAATCAGCTTGGCGTTACTGACATCAGCTGCAGAAACTAGATTCGTGCATCTATGTATTAGGACCGAACAAACTGGCCATACTCACATAGGAAAAATATTGGAGGGACACAACCAAACTATGTGATATTAGCGTTCGAAAGGGTGGTTCTTGATGTGCAAAGACATTCAAAATCGAGTCGTTATTCTTGCTATTTAACACGATAGCAGCATATATCACAACGAAAGGAAAGTTAGCTTTTATTACGGCCACCACCTAATTGTCGTCCTTGATAACAATTCGTTGTACAGTGAACTACTACACATAGTAACTGCACGCGTTAGTAATCTAATTACCCATCACTGCGTGGATATTGATTCATTACACTCAGACACTAAAACCTGGTCTTTTAGATGTAACAAGATGCTCAGTTGTTTGCCCATCCATGGCTGCGATCGGGCAAACGCTTGAAGTAAAGAAGCCCCCTTCGTAATTTTCGATGTTTCTATCGTTCTCTATTTAAATCATTTTGACTTAATTAATCACACTTCACTAGGGGAGAAATTTCCACCTCAACAGAAACAAGTTCATGAATCCAGCCCAGTTTCTTTCAGAATTTGTCTCTAGATTTTACTCAAAAGAAAATCTTGACGAAAAAAAAATGGTGAAGCTGTACAAAATTTAACTCAGTACGAATCAAATTTAGCTCAATCAAATCTTCTCAAACAATCACACACAAAAAAAAAAAAAAAAAAAAAAAAACTGATGTATACATTTCTAGTAGACAAAGTAATCAGAAAGAGTACCTCTGATCTAATGATTTCCGAAGAACCCTAGGCGCGGCGGAACAATGTAGATCAAATCCGCCGCCGTGTCCCCCTCCGCCGCCTTCGATTACCGGCGATTTCACGACCAACTCAGTTACTCAAAAATCATAATTCAATCATTTCTCGGTACGAGTAAAGCTTCGATTTATTTAAACATTTATTTATTTATTTATAATTATTGAATTTTTAGTATGAAATCTGATGCTGAATCCTGAGATATAACTATCCTATATAATGACGTCATAAATTAAAAATACTCAATCCAATTATTTAATTCAATAATTAATTAATTATGCACTTCAGTAGTAAAAAGATTATCCTAGAATTTTCCGTCAATCACATGGCTACACGTGTGATACAATTTTTTTTTATTTTCCAAACCCAACTTATCTTGGTGGTGGGCGCGTGTCGGCCACTAACCTTCACTCCACCGGACCGAAACAAAACCAGGTAAATTCACCGTCACCTCACAACATCTTCTAATTACATTATCTTATATTATATTAAATATTTAAATATAAAATATATATTTTATAATCGGAGCGTGATGAAACCCTTGAAAGTTAAAACCCTAACCTCCGTCAATTTTCCAATGGTATTTATGTTTACCGTTAATGGCGCTATTTTACTGTACCTTTTACCGCAATGAAATAATTAACCGCCTCGGAGTCGTATATCATAATTAAAGTGCTTTTGGAAATTGAGCTATCTACAGATCGCCTGCGCTGAATTTGACCCGACCCACGGAGATCTCGGCCTAATCCTCTCGATCGGAGTCTCCGAATTCCGATTGTAGGTATTCTTCCCTTCGCCGAATTCAATTTTGCCGCTGTTGAGAAATGAAATATTGAAGGAATTGAGAGGTCAGAATAAAATTTCATTTAGATTTTTTCCTGTTTATTGTACGTCGACTCTGTTTATTCACCTTCCGCTGTTGATTTGCCAGTTGATTTTTGCTCTACTTTTAATTTGGGCGTTTTAGACTTGTGCTGATTAGAGTCCGGTTTTGAGTGCAGAGTAGTATAATTTTACTTTTCTATTTTTCTACTTTGATGGCTTTACTTTATCTTCGTTGTGAAGAGTTCTATTTTTTTTCGTTTTCTTGTTGGGCGTTGACATAAAGGTTTCCTTTTTTAATTGCTGGTGTATCTGTAAATTTTTATGGAAGCTTCATTCGTTTTGACTCTTCATGTTGGTAGAATTTGAAATAATCATTTAATTGATTATTGGTCTATTCACTGGATTTCGTTTTTATGGATATCTTGTTGCACTGAAGTTTTAGGGTTTTGTTCCCCCAACTTATCTGTGACTTATTGTGTATTCTGATGATTATGCAATTACTGTCGGTGCAGCTAACAAGGGGGGTGAAATTGACTGCTATACATGTCCAATCAAGAGGAAGAAATGGATTATGCAAATGCTGATTATGAGATGGGTGAATTTGAAGAAGATATGTATTTTGCTGGTCGAATAATGGGGGACACAGAGTCCGATGATGATGACGATGATGATGAACATGACTATTTGGTCAGTTTAATATGCACTAACAAATTTTGCACGCCCTTGTTATATCATTATCAATTTGATATTTTTTTTCATTAGTCTACTGATGGGTTTTATTATTTGACGATATGACTTAACGTGAATGTGTGTTTAGGACAATAAGATAACTGATACTTCTGCTGCCGAGGCACGGAAAGGGAAGGATATCCAAGGCATCCCGTGGGATAGACTAAGCATATCTCGGAAGAAGTATAGACAGACCAGACTGGACCAGTACAAGAATTATGAGAATATACCTCAATCCGGAGAGGGTACAGAGAAGGTAACTTTCAATTACAAATGGTAACGAAGCATAGCTGATATTGATTCTGTAACTCTTTGTAGTCGTGTTAACATTATTCGATTTCACTTCCGGATTTGTTAGGAATGCAAATTAACAAGGAAAGGTGGAGTGTATTATGAGTTTTGGCAGAACACCAGATCGGTAAAATCAACAATTCTTCATTTTCAGGTAAAGATATAGTTCTGTTTGGATATTTTTTTGTTGTTCATTTTCGAATGACTCCAAGTTGAAATTTTGGTAGCAAAGATTAGTAATTATGCAGTTGGAGCTTGTAAAAATGCAATTCCACCGTTATAGTTCCACTAGATTGCAATCTGTTTGGGCAAAGATCATCTTATGTATGACCATTTATTGACGCACACCATTAACAGTTTAACTGTTTAAGTTAGTACACTTTGGTATTCTATTCCAAACTAGGAGTTCGTTAGGTAAATAATGTATTGCATTATATGTCTGATATGAGATCTGAGATGAGATGTTGGTTTGGTGCAGTAAGGTTTTATAGGACTGGTCATCCTCCTCCATCTCTGTACTCTGTCATCGGATCAAACCCAATGCTTTTTCCCCCAATCTTCCTTCGTTGTTCTTTTATATTCATTGTTTTTTGGCTGAGAGGAGAGTTGATCAAGGATTAGATGTTATGCCTCTGATGATGTAAGAATTGTTCGTTAGTATATAAAGAAGTACTTTTCTCATATTTTGTCACATTCAGATTGCTGTCTGGTAACTCTTTCATGACACTAAGTAAGTCAAGATGCAAGATGTTACACTAGGTTAGATAATGATGCCAATCATGCTTTGAGTCTTTCGTTTTCTGTTTTAGACAATGTTTAGGTTTCAAAGTTATGGTTACGTTTGATGTAGAAGAACCTGTCATACATATGACCACATGTGTTTTGTTCAATTATACTCAGAATATTTGTTGTTTTTATTAAGAATATTGTTGGTTTCAAGGGATGCGATTTTTCAAAGTTGCTGTCTGTGATTTGCAGCTAAGAAACCTGGTTTGGTCGACATCGAAGCATGATGTTTACCTCATGTCACATTACTCTATTATTCACTGGTCTTCATTAAGTTCCAAGAAGACAGAAGTTCTTAATGTCTCAGGTCATGTGGCTCCTTCTGAGGTGCATATCTCTTTATTGATCAATGATCCTATATTTAGTACTTATGTGCTCATTTTGCTGAATAATGATAGCTGGTCTAATAATATCTCTTATAGAAACACCCTGGAAGTTTACTCGAAGGATTTAGTCAAACACAAGTAAGTACTCTGGCTGTTCGTGACAATTTGTTGATTGCTGGAGGATTCCAAGGGGAGCTTATTTGCAAGGTAATACTCTCTCTTGGTGGAAGCTTTCTTGTGATCTTTTTCTCTCAGACTTCAATAATTTGTTTGAATGCAAAGTATATATGCCACCAATACTCTTCATCATTGCTGCTTTGTTTTGATGGTCTTGGACCTTTGGCATAACCTGATCACAGTTTATTTGCCAATGTCTTGTGATCAAGAAAATACAGGGTTTTGTGAAACACTGAACTATGTTTATTCAATTTCATTCTTCTTTGGTTTCTTCCTCCAAGTAGGATGAAATAAAAACATTACGTAGTCATATGATAACGTCTCTTTTTAGCGTTTTGCTTCTATACCTAGATAGTTCAAATGTATAATTTCTCATTTAATATGCAGTATCTAGATCGACCTGGTGTTAGCTTCTGCACGAGGACAACTTATGATGATAATGCTATCACAAATGCAATCGAGATCTATGATGGTCCAAGGTATACCACATGCTCCTTTTCCCGTATCGTGTCTCTAACTGATCTCCTGAAGCAGAGATTAACATATGCTGAAGCATTGCCATTTAAATCAACCAATATTCTGGAACTAATTGGGTTTGAACCACTATCAGTGGTGCTATTCATTTCACAGCTTCGAATAATGATTGTGGAGTGCGGGATTTTGACATGGAGAGATTTCAGCTTGTTAATCATTTCTCTTATCCGTGGCCTGTAAATGTAAGTTCTTTTATCTTTTTGTTCATCAAAAACAGTATTATCTTTGTGCATAATTTTTTCTGCAATTATCATCTATTTGACACTTCTCGACAACAGTCATTTTGTCATCGATGTGGCTCGAAGTTCACATGGTTGACTTTGAATAAGTTTTTCACAAAATCCCATAGTTCACCTTCCACGCTTATGCTTGTTTGGATTTAATATGTTCCCTAGACCCTGTTGTGCATTCCCAATGGTTTCTGAGGTGACATCGAGTATGTTGAACCTGGTTTTTGAAGTTGCTTATGTGGAAGATATAGAGGATTCTATGGGTTTTAGTATCAAGATTATTATGGTCTAGTGACTGTGTACACCTGGATTAACTTGGCCCATACTATAGCCATGGGATTTACTTATGAACTTACATTTTGCGAGTATATTTTGACTTTTCCCACACTCTTAGAGTGTGTGTCTCCCTTTTTTCTCTCTGAAAAATGCACGTAAGGATAACACTATTTTGATTTATTTACAGCATACTTCTCTGAGTCCAGATAGCAAGATTATTGCTATTGTTGGGGACAACCCAGATGGGATGCTCGTGGATTCGCAAACTGGGAAGGTACCTAAATTACTTTTAAAATGTAATATACGTGGGCCAAAAATAAATATTTCGCCATGAGGATTCAGAACCTACCATCTACTGGTTTGAGGGAAAAAAAAAATCTTTAATATGTATATTTTCTTCTTCTTGGGTAGTTATATTGACTATATTTTGTTTGTAGACAATTGCGCCCCTTCACGGACATTTGGATTTCTCTTTTGCTTCTGCATGGCATCCAAATGGTTACATCTTTGCAACTGGCAACCAGGACAAGACTTGCAGAGTATGGGATGCTCGCAACTTGTCCAAATCTGTTGCTGTACTCAAAGGAAATCTGGGAGCCATTCGATCTATCCGTTTCACATCCGACGGCCAGTTTATGGCAATGGCCGAGCCTGCTGATTTTGTTCATGTGTACGATGTCAAAAATGGTTACGATAAAGAGCAAGAGATTGACTTTTTCGGTGAGATATCTGGAGTCTCTTTCAGCCCGGACACCGATTCTCTCTTCATCGGAGTGTGGGATCGTACTTACGGTAGCCTCCTTCAGTACAACCGTTGCAGAAACTATTCATATCTGGACTTTTAATGTGATTCATTTTGGTTCCTTTTATGAGTTGTTTATGCATCTGTAGTTGGAAGAGAAACACCAGGTGACATGCCATCTCTTTGGTTACTAATCCACTGAAGGGTTCTGTCTGTCTGTGTGCTCTAGCCCAAGTGTTGTGTCTTAAAAAAATAATAACGACTTTGTGGCAGGGAAGCGAATATCTGGGCTGCAATTTGGTACTGGCGGGCCGGTATGAAATTTTTATCCGAGCACTGAACAACGTGGTTTTTTTTTTTTTTCTTTTTTGTAGTGGGTGGAAGTGTCACTTGGTGATGTGTATATTAGAAATTTAATTTGTAACAGTAACTTTTTTATGGAGTTGAAGAGGATGATACTACTACTGCCTGGGCACTTAGTCTTGATTGTTTTAGATCACATTACTCTGTTGTGAAACTGGAAAGTGTCAATAAAAAGCTCTCTTTTGCTTTGTGGAAAAGCCTCAATATTTATTTTTATTAGCATTTTTTCTAAGTTGTGTTGGTTGAATTTTCGGAAGTAACCAAAGTAGAGGCAAAGTTGAAAGGTGAAATGGTAACTCATCATCTATTGTACATTCAGCTCGAAAACATGAAAATGGTCGTCTCAGACAATCAAACTTTCGTGTTTGGTGGAACTTTCTAGATGATTCTCCTTGACATCATCTTCAGGTGAATATCGATCTACACGCTGTAGAAATATTTCTTCTTCCTCTTGCAGCTGTTGCATACAATCCTCAAAGGCTGCCACCAATTCAGGACTGAAAATCGGATTTTCTCCACCGTTTTTTTCTCGTTTTGCACGAGTTGCCTTAGCATCATTGTAGCTCCCAAATTTGGGAGTAATGTAACTTCCAGGAGAATAAACTTGGCCCTCCGCATTAACCCGTTGCCTGAATTTCGCAGCGGAAGGGAATTCAACTGGTGGCACATCAAGTGATTTAAGCCCCTTCGCTAAAGCCTTCCTTCTCCAGCCATTTTCGCGCGTGCCGTTCTCTTGAAGAATATTCTCAGAAGCATCGGAATTTCTCAACGAACTGAAACCCTCTTCAGAGGGATATTCTACAGTATTTGTGCTGGACTTGCGAATTCTCTCGAGCAAGGAATCGTACTCCTCCACAGTATGGAAGCTTCTGGAACCTCCCATGCTCTTGTCTTTCCGATCCAACTTATTTTCATTTTCGGGAGATGGAATTTCTCTGTCATCTCCAAATATCTGACAGCTTTTCGATCTCGTAAATCTACCATAATCGAGTTCTGTAACAGAACCAGGAGCCGATTCCGCCTCTGCTTTGACAGGTTCCGTTGATGGCAAAGTGAAATTACTAGTTCTGAGTTTAGTAGCTAAGGCAACTAGATGCTCATTATTATTGCCACTGTGTGAAGTTAATACTAATTCTTCCCATGCTGCAGATGATGAGCTATGGAATATTCCGTGACTCAGCTCTTCTCTTATGCTCATCGATCGAGTAATCGCCTTCGAATACATGCATCCCATTTTCTTCTCAAACTTGTGCTGAATGTAATAAGATGAACAAGATATTCTTACATTCACACAGTGTACCAAGTTTTTATGTGATGGCAATAATTTGCTACCAAATATTAAATTATTTTAGAATTTTTTATCTCTTGTGCACAGGGCTCCATAGGACAAGCAATTCTTCATGTGATCAAATTAAATCACAGAAGAAACAAAAATTTAATATAAGAAAAACATAAGATCCATGTTTAAGATATAAGAATACCTGTGGTTGTTTCTTGTTTGGCTTTTCAAATAAATTGGCAGCTTCTGGTTTTCTTCTTCTCTGAGAAACTAAGTACTGAAAGAGATGAGAAGAGTATTAGGTGAAGAAATGAGAGAATTAGGTTTGTAATAATAATTAATAATAAGATTCACTGCCAGAGATTTTTCTTTTCCAATTTTCAAACCGAATGTCACTTTCAGAATTAAATTCAATTTGAACATAATATTTTTTTATTTAGATTATAAAAGTCTGTTTTGAATTTGATTCAGTAAATTAAATTCTTATAATAATTTAAATATGTTTAAACTAATTTATTTTCTATTATAATTATGGGGATGACAACTCACTTTATTTATTTATATGTGGATAAAATATATGTGCAACAACGGGTGGCATAAATTGAGGAAATTCTTTTTAGCACTCAGGCGCATTTGGATGCACACCAACCAAAAAAGAATTAAAAAAAATTACTGACAAAATCGTTTATTTAGGTACTTGTAAAAAAGAAAATCACTTATTCTGCAAAATCGCTTATGTTTAAAAGTCAAGATCGAGGGCTAATGCTCGCTTAATATTGAGGGCCATCGCTGCTCCCTTGACGTTTTGTGATTTTTTTATTTATTTTTCAGAAATCATCTAATTAAATCCTGATTTGAAAATCTTGTGTGTTTTGACATCTTTAATTATCTTTATTTGTTTTGCTAATAATGTTTTGTTTTTAACTTGGATTTTATTTTTTTATAAACATCCCACTTGGTAACAATTTTTTTTATGTAATTTTTAGAATCATACTATTTGATATGCATCTTTGTAGATTTATTTTAAAGTCATTAGAGCATGTACAATGGAATAGCTAAAAAACCCTCTCTAAAGAGTGGGGTCCACATGCCACATACTCCTTTTCCTTCACTTTATCACCTCTCTAAAAATGGGTCCCGCATTTATCACTCTCCAAATTAAAATTGCTCCAATGGGTATATTTTGTTGCTCTCCAAAATGTCTCTCAAAATATTAAACTATAATAAAATATTCACTATTGATATAAAAAAATACAAATTAAAATTTCAAGATTTTATGTTTAATTAATTATATATTATATATTAATAAAATTAACTTGACTTTAAAATTAGACTATTTACGTAAACAAAATTACCGTTTAATCATGTTGCGATTTACGTTAGTTTATTATTTTTTTTTTTTATAATATATAAAAACTAATTAATAATATGAAAATTTAACAAATTACATTGTAATAGGTATTATTAATGTTCAATTTACAGTTACTTTCATTTTATTATTATTCATAAATATTTGTTGAAATACTTAATTATTATAAAAAAATAATTAAGAATATGAAATTAACAAATGATATAAAATTGAATTTTATTTATTAAAATATTGTTTTTCGTTTGTTCGCTTTGATAAGCAAAAAAATAAATTTAAATTTAATTAGTATTTAAAATTTATAATATTTCATTTATCATTTAAATATATACATAAATTAAAGTTAAAACAAAATAGAAATAAAAGATATAAAAAAATATTGGTAAAATATAAATGGGCCCACATACATTTGCTAGCTTGCTCCATAACTGTGGCGATGACTTTAGTTACTCTCCAAATTTGGAGAGCAATCAAGAGCCTCTAACTATTCCACTGCAGCCCAATTTCCTCTCCAAATTTTACCTAGCCTTAAAGTCTGACACTAAAAGGACTTTTAATGAGCCCATTGTACATGCTCTTATGAAAATATAAAATTGTTGCCAATTTATCAAATTCAATCGAAGATTTCGCCAAACAATTCAGCTCAAACATTGATCAATCAAATGAACTATAACCATGCACATAAAACCTTAAATTTGGAAGCTAAATGCATAAAATAAGAAGATAAAACGACTAATCTTTCAGTTCCACTTGAACTTGATCAAAATACTTCCATAATATTATTCAATACAAAATTAAATAATAAGTAACAACTAATAAAATATATTTCATATGAGCCCAATTCTAGTGTAGAAATCCCAATAAACAAAGAAATGGGTTTTTTTTTTTTTTTTACCACAATATGTATACAAATTCGTATATTGACTTTGTGATATACTCATGTACCGTATATATACGTATCTACATTTTACACATAAATCATCTTCATACAACGACGTCGTACAATAATTAATCCAACAATAAATTATCCACATAATAATTAATAACAAACCCATAATTTACCCACTTAATTACCGGAAACCACTCACCGCCGATGAACCCAACCGTCTTAACTACCGACAGCCGCCAGCAGCGAACCCGATTCGGGAACCGGCAACATCATAGAAAACGTCGAAAGTCTGCTGCTGCTGGTTTCCGATGATGGCGATATCGCGAAGATTCGAGTTTCCGGCAAAGGACAAGCAACTGGTCCCCTTCTCCACTTCTATTACAACGTTTTGAGGTTTCAGGTCAAGTTCACCTCCTCCTTCAAATATCAACTTAACCGGCGGCACCACGCCGGAGATCTCATCGGAGCTCCCGGTAAAACATGCGTCGAGTATCGAAAAAGCCTCCGCCGTTTTAAACTTGGCGGATATGATCTTTACCAGCTTCTCTCTTAGGGCTGAGTACACCGGCGATGCCAACCGCGATATGGTGGTGCCGGAGTCTATGATCGTCGGAACGGTGCTGTAATCGGCTGCTGCCACGTTCAAAGTCTCGCCGGAAACTGAAATCGCCGACATTTTAAGAAAGTACAACGTGGGATCACGAGAATCGGACAACATGGGAGTGAACTTGTAATTGGAATTCGAGCTAACCCCGACGGACAAAAACCCTCCGCCGCCGGGTTTTGAGCTCAACAGAGATGCCGTCGGGAGGCAGTAGGAGAAGGCCTTGCCGTACTTCGCCGACAGCTGAGACAGCATGGAGAGCTCGTTTTTCGCAAGTCCGACAAGCCCGGCTGACTTTCCGAACAGGCCGTCGTTGTCCTGCCCGCACCCGAATACGAATCCGGGTAGGGTATCCGACCCGAACGTGAGCGAGTCGGTGCTCAGGTACCCGACGGAGAAAGACTGGTCGCCGTAGGTGGCGGTGTAGATGCAGGCGTTGGAAGACGACGAGCACATGGGATTGTTGAGGGTGGCGGTCTTGAGTGAACCGCACTGCGCCGCGCCGCACGGCAGCTGCCGGTACGTGACGGAGGCGGAGGGGTTGAAGTGGGCCCCGATCTGCGGGTGGCAGTAGACGGCGCACGGCTCGCACTGAATCCAGGAGAAGGAGCTGCCGGTGTCGACCACCACGAGGTGGTACGTCGGCGGAGTTCCGACGCCGATTCTGGTGTAGTAATTCCCGACGCCGATTGACTGGCCGGGATTCAGGGGAACGGTGACGGATTCTTTTCCGTCAATCAATACTTCCGTACTAACGGAATGAGCTGACGCCGTTAGGTTATTATTATTGGTAAGCCTGGAATTGAGAAACTTGACACGAGCATCGTCTAAAGCAAGTGCCTCCGACAAGGAAGACAAGCTTGTCTGCCATGCATGATGATACAGAGGCAGCTTCAGTTGCTTAATCAACTCTGCAAGATTTATAATATCAAGATTAATTAGTTAAAAATAATCAACAAGATTAATTAAACCGCATAAATTAATTAACATGCCTTGATTAACTGATCTAATTGAAGATGTTCCTGGAAGCTGCAAGAGAGCTGAAAAAAACAGACACAAGAAGAACAAAATCCCCATTTTAATTTTTAATTAGCAAAAATAAATTTCACGGCACTAACGGAATACTTTTTAAAACAAAATTATACTGATTACTATTATTATTGCAATTAATTTAAGGACCCATTTTTCTTTCTTTTTGAACAAGACAAGCAAGACAAACCCTCCTCCACCAGTAATAAACCGACAGTTGGTTTAAATTAAAATCTGTCACGTAACTAAAGAAAAAGAAAGTGCATGGTAGCTGATAAGTCACATACAAAGGTCTGCTTTCACAATAATTGCTTTATATATGGTTGCAATAATTTCAGTGACCAAACAGACAGTAAACATGGTTTGCACTTTGCATCAGCAGCTGTGAATATTCTTTTATGTCTGAAAGCCACGTCATAACTAAATTATTCATATAATTGAAATTACAATTTGCTATCATGATTAAGCCCACCAGCAGTAAAACGATTGTAACCTATGTTTAAGAAAAATCTTTACTGGAAACAAGAAAAACAGAGTACAAAGTTTACCACCTTTACCACAATGATGTAATTTAATCGTTACAAACGAGGACAATAACAAATTATAGATAGAATTCTACAAGCAAAAATCAAGACCGACGAAAAGCGTTGCTATCAGTAGGTTGTCTTCGCTGTAGATAATGGGATCTCCTGCGCACACTCTCCTCAATAGTGGAGCTTCCTCCCTTCTCAGCACCGTAAATACTTTTCTGAGCATCGTCGAGAAAGTTCCTTCCTAAAGACGCATGGTCACGATTAGCTTCGTGCGCGTCACTATCTGCTGCCTTCTTTATCCTTTTCCACCTCTGCTGCTCGTGCGTTTCGGCATCCATTTCCATCTCCCTAAGCCTAGCAGCTCTCTCCTCTTCTGAAAGTTTAACGGGATTTCGGTGCCTGGTTTTGCTGGGCTCGTTTCTTGGCGGCTTATCAGAAGAATCCACATGGCTTCGTTTATTATCGTGTCTGTAGTCGTGACGAGGTTCAATCTGACGTTCTGAAGAATATTCTTCTCGTCGGGAGTTGTAATAACTATGCTTACTTCTGTGGTTGTCTTCGTTTTTGTCTTTATATTCCCTGTCATGGTGTTTCTTTCTTCGAGCATCTTCTTGGCTCGGTGGTTCTTCGTCTGAAGTATAGGCTTTCTTGCTTGAAGGCCTGTTGGTTTTGGAAACCTTGTGATGACTCTCTCTTCTTCCCTTTTCTAGTGGCGGAGCCGCATCGTTGGAGTCGGAGTCGTTTTCTGATGATGAATGTTTCCGATGTTTGGATTTGTTTCTGTGACGCTTTTTCCCATGTTTATTTTCGTCCTTGTCTTTGCCCTTTGTTGCTTCTACCTGAAATTCGATGATAGGCCAAAGTTAGTTACTGTTCCACAAAGACCGACACTGCCAAAAGATAGCACTATATGATAGAACACTTCCTAAACAACTTTTCATTGTACAGAGAAACAACAGAGGCAATAATTGCTTTTTCTTTTTCTTTTGTTAATGAAATTTGAATATTTGATGCTAAAAGAAAATCGCCATTCATTGCAGAAGATTGCTTACTGATTCCAGAACGGTACAACTTTAACAGAAGAAGCATATCCAAACCCATAAGGCATAACCCATTGGTTTTCAGAGAAAGAAAATATATCAACTTTCTATCCTACAATTGTTCGTATGCAACACTTTATACTGCATGTAGACAAACTATGACAAAGAGAATGGCTTGAATGATGATTAACTTACTAAGTCAATACAAGGCAAACAACTGATGTATTCTAAAATTATTGCTATCAACTATTGAAGATTGAAGGTCCCTTCTTACTACTATTGCTAGCTCTGAAAGGATCATAACTCATAACTGGGTCCACTTATGACATAACTTGTAAACTTCATGTTGTTAACAACAGCACCCATAACACCTTAACTAAATGCAAAATTATCCGATCAAGTTTTTGATGACTGTGTAGTTTAAAGCTCAAATAATTGCATTATGACAGGTCATTTCAATGAGCATGAATGGACAAAAAAAATCATATATGAGGCTATAATGAACTTACAGATTTGCGAATCATGGCCATTTGGACAGGGTTATTCTTCACTCGAGCAAGAGATTCCTGTTCTCTCTGACGGATCAAAAGCAACGGATCTGAATGAAGTTTCCTCCAGGCATCATTAGCTGTCTGCGGCTTCTCCTCAAACAATGCTCCCGGTGCTGCCGATTGTGGCTGCAAGAACAATCACCATTTAACATTCAAAACTCCAACAATAAATTTCCCCAAAAAGAATTAATACTGATAATAAAGAAGGAATTTCATATTTAATCAAAATTTAGTACCTTTTCAGAAGTAGATGCTGATGCAGTGGTATCGGGCTCAGTCTTTGGTACAGGTTCAAGAGCCTTGAAACTAGAACTACCTTTCCCAACAGCTAATCCTGAATCGTACAGAAATTCGAGACGCTCTTGCTTCCTGAAGAAGAGAAACAAAAATTAATTTCACAGAAAAATTGGAAGAAACCCTAAGCCCTAAATCAAAACCCTAAAAGCAGAAACAAATTGGGGGAAAAGGAAAAGTGAACGTACGGGATGAGGCCGGAATCAATTTGAAGCTGGCGAAACTCAGCGCGGCCGCGTTCCTCGTGAATCTGCTTTTTGAGCTCCTCCAGTTTCTTATCCTCGGCGTCGCGCTTTTGCTCGGCCTTCCACACATTCTCGATGTTGCGGAGGCTGCCCGTATGCCATCCCTTCTTGTTTAGAAACTTCAGCGCCATCGCCAAACGATTCTTTTACAGACACGGCGGATCGGTGATTCTTTGATGGTTTGATGATTCTCTGAATTCGCCTTCGTTCTCACCAGATTGATTGAATGTACACCACAGATTTTATAGTTGTCGGCTCTTTTCTTTTTCTTTTTCTTTTTATTTTATAATTATAAATTTGGCCGTGACATGGAATATAATTTTGTTTCGAGTTGTTAGATTTAGAAAAAATAATTCAGAGTACAAAAAATAGATTAAATTATAAAAACTGAAGAAAAAAATCCAAATAATGGAAAACAAATATCTATAAAAATATAGGGAAATTAGTTAAAGAATACTTAGACAATTCAATAATGTGTTATTCAATGGCTTCATTGCATTTGCGCATCCTCGAAATTTGACACTCTACAATTATAAAAATATTTAATAGTATTTTGCAGTGTCGAACTAAAATAAATTATTGAACTAAAATAAATCATCCGTAATGTACCACATGTACGATAATTTCAACTTTTTCATAGTTTGTTTGAATCAACCCATATATTAATTAATTATTAAAAAAGATTGATTATGCTCACATATTCATTTTTAAGGTTTTATAAAATCCCGAACAATAAATCGATGATGTACAAGTTATATATATATTGAATGAATTTACACAACTATATCTATATGGGGTATAATATGAAGAGGGAAAAAAATCATAGGAAAAAGAATAAAATATATATATTAATTTTTTTCTTCTGTCTGTATATTCAGCTCATAGGGTCTTGTGCCATTGTATTAGGGTTCCCCTGAGGCTGCACTCCTTCACCTGTTCGAATGTGAAAGCAAGCTCGATTAAGATATAGATCGCGTTTCTGTACGTATATTTGGTTTTATAATGCATATACAGCTACTACAGAAGGATACATACCTGCGATGAGTAAATCTTGGATAGTAAATCTCCGCACTCATGAATACGAGCTTTTTCTCCTCCAACCATCCTAGCTAATTCGCAAATTGAGGTATCCATTTTCCCAGCCTGCTTTCAAGAAAAAAGACGTCGATCGATAAATCTCTGAGTAATTACGAAAAATGATGTTATAAAAGTATAATTATCTTACTTCTACGATAAATCTCTGAATATGAGTGCCGATCAAGTCGACCACTTTGAGTGCCGAGTTTAGAGCCTCCTTTAGCTCTATAGTATCAGCCTGCAGGAAAGTGATTATTTCTTAAGAGTAGTTCGTTACATCATTAAATAAAAGACACAAAATTAATATATACTAGAAAGGAAAGAATGACGAGAATTCTCACGCGCGCATCCCCGTTGACCGGAATTCTGACCGAAGAACTGAGCAATGCGTTTGTTGTGCCTAATAGAGAATTTGAGTAATCCTCTTCCAAGGTAGACCATTCGTCGAGATATGGCATCTAGTTGACATTATAAATAATTCCAAAAGATAAGTTTTAGCTATGCGAAAAATCGTCTCACAAAAGAAGCAAGAAATCCGAGATGTTTTTCAAGATCCAATAAAATGAATAGTGGAAAATCGAACATAACAATGTACAAGATGCAAACAGAATAATCTGAAAAGCGAAATCGAAAGTTTACGGAAAGTTTCATGATATATAATAAGATAGGTGCCTTACTTGAGCTTCAACTATTGCGGTGAAAGTTTGTACACGTTGCAATACTGCAAGTTCGTTTTGTTTATTTTTCACTCGGTCGCGCATATCTGATATCTCGACTCCAAGTGACCAAATTTTTCTCTGAACAAAGAAACGAAAAAAAAAAACAGCATAACTGATATGCAAATAATAAATAAAAACGGAACTAGCAAACGCAATTGACTAAAAAACGGGAAACGAACCTCCGCTTCTTGCTTTTGTGCATGAATGGAGGCATCCGCTTTCGCGTTTGCAAATCGCCACTGCAGATAATAGTTACTCAACATCTTCAAGGAATGTGAATCTTCTTGATGGTTGGATAATTTCCCGCTTTTTCTCGAATCGAATCCGGACCTCATACAAGTTGAAGGATTTTGAGGGGGGCGGGAAACACCACCCCCCATCTTCGCGAAAGACGAAAAATTCAACGAGCGCATACAATCACCGATGACCTTGCTAGAATTTCCAGCGGCATCTGGCACGGAAGGCCGATCACAGAGTGGTGAATTAGGGCATGAAGAAGAACTCCCCTGTTTTGAAACAGGGGAATTGCATGAATCGGAGGTGGCCTCTTGCAAGAGCCTGGCCGCTGAAGTGACGGCGGCGGAGCACACATTGCTGCTACTACTCAGTGAATTCGAACGGTGGATGGTGTTGGAAACTTGCCTGTATCTCGACGGAACAATCCTCTCTGCACCGATTGGAATCGGCGTGTCGGATCTGGACGAAATTGCCCTTGCTTCGGAATGCTTGTTGTCTCTGCAATCACGTTTCTCTTTACTTTGCACAGTTGATGGAGCTGCGGCGGATGAATTGTCTAACATTCGATTAATTGACTCGGGAATTAGATTCTCGTCGGTTTTATTAGATGGTCGGCGGCGGTGGGCGGATTTGGAGCGCGGAAAATCGGAAGGGATTGGGGTTGAATTGGACTGAGTTAAAGGGGACATGAATCGCGAACTGACTTCTCTCACTCTGGGCCGGCGGTGGGGGAGCGGCGCCGCCATAGAGTCGGCTGCTGCTCCGCCGGTTTGGTCCGCCATTTTTGTTTTCTCTCAGGAATTAATGAATGAATACTTTAGTTCTTCTGCAATGATTTTATCAGTGATTGGAGAATGAATTTGGCAGGAAAAAGAGAGATTTTTTTGTAAATCGTAAAGTGAAAAAATTAAAGTAAAGAAAAAATGATTAAAAACACTAGCCGTTGTTGAACTTTAATTCTAAACGGATAACGGTTCTATTACCCGGGTCTAACGATATCGAAGCAGAATAAGAACACTTTTAAAACCTTTATCTTTATTTAGGCATATCATCATTATGAAATTTGACCACCTCGTCGTGTGATCATACGTTTTTTATTGTTATGCTTATTCACTTATTTGTAATTGCTAGGGTAAATAACGGTCAATGCCCTGAAAGGTAAGATCGAATTACTACGAACAAACATCTCATGTTTGGTGTAATTATAATGACCTCTTAACTATGAATCTTCTTATACATCCACACTTGAAGGGTCAAATTTAGTGAGATTATGTAAACTATACTCCATTTTTTACCCGTTTTACACATTCAAGCTCCATATTTTGAAACAAGGTGATCATGGGATGTGTCTCTTGGCTTGTAAATATCAGATTGTGGTACATCAGAAGCTGTACTTTTGCATAAAACGAGTATAAACTATAGTGCATACCACAAAATGTAGAAGATTCTGTTGAATTTGACACCATAAGGGTGGACGTGTGAGAAAATTCATAGTTGAGAGGTGATTGTAATTACCCAAACATGACGAGTTTATTTCATAATTAAAAAAAAAAAAAAAAAAAAAAAAAAAAAACCTATTCGAAGTTTCAACCGGCAACAGACGGGAAGCCAACTCAATCCCATTTAGAAAAGGGTGTATCTCTCACTCATATGTATAGATCGGTACATATTTGCTATATTATATATGAGCGATCGTGTTTAAATCAAAAGTGAAAAACAACTCGATATATTTCATCATTGTACGAGACCCTCAGTAGGGTAAGATGCTGTTGATTGTTGTGACATCTCGAAGATGTCGTCAAAATCACACTTGTCACCAAATGGATTTTCTAACATCCTAGTCAGCAAAATCGATTGGCAACATTGCATATTAAAAACTTCATGTACCACCAAAAAAAATTGAACCATTCAAATCGTTTCATACATCATGTACACAAATTAGATTGGTCTGATCAGAAGAAGCTGCACTGAGCAGTTCCACTCCTAATTTTTTTACTCTGATACTCTCTAACTGCTATTCTATTGGAGTATGCAAAGTTTATATGTAGATATAGATATAGATATATATAGCACTATGAAGTTAGTTGTATTTCTTGAAGGATGAATATAGGTTATGTCAATGAAAACTTGGTCTCCCGGAATCACTGAAAAGCTCATCTGTACAGCATGAACAAAATACGCATGGTTAGTATATATAGCGTTAGAAACCAATTACGGTAAATACCATACCAAAAAAGGATCAGTAATTCTAGCATCGATCTAGGGATTCAACTAACCATGATCGTCATCTTCCTCGCCACTTTGAGTTGTGAAAAAAGGGGTGAGATAGTTCCTATCCAGTGCAGTAAAAGATGCGGTGCTGCAAGAATTAATCGAGGAAATATGATTAAGAAATAATTCAGAATAAAAAAAATATAAAAATGAAACTTCAGAACCATTTTGCCATACCTATTGCGGAGTTCTTTAAGTCTCATCTTAAACCGGTTTCCAGATGAAGATTCCTCCTCATCCTCATAAACAGGAGCTCTGTAGCCATTGTTTGACTCAAGGCTCTGAAATGGGGAACAAGGAGATTAAGAATCGGAAAATAAACACCAAAAACACTTTCTAGTTGCACCTTTCATGTGTATGCAAAGATCGAGATAATACAGCTAACGAAATATTATTAAAAAGACCAAGTAATATACAGTAATTAACATACAATTTTTAACCACAAAAGAGCAAGCGTTAACGAATATTGACTTACTTCTCCCAATGACACCTCATTGCTATCACCCACAACATGTAAAGCTTCAAGCATGGTTCCAGTTGATCCTCCTATCAGCAAGACCTACAAATTCCAAAAAATAGGCCAAAAAATGAAGGTTTATGAAGTAACCCCTCACATTGCTAAGTGCATTTTATATTTCGAACAAGGAGTAAAATTTCTGCAGAAAACACGATAATACTAACTTAAGATTTGGTTTAAATCCTGCCCCACCCTTACTTTCCCATATGTAACAGGATTTAAATTCATTTAATTTTTTAAGTAAGAGCAAAGTCACATTATGCACTAAAGATGCTCCGTAAGGAATGCAGCAAATGTTTGTGCATTTATCAAGCCTTGAGTGATGGTTGGTAGAAACAGCAAGTATTAATTCACATTAGCCGGTAACCGAATATCTAGAGAACATAGCCAGAAAAGAGCTAACAATTGGATAAGCGAATGGTATGAGTCTGCAATGTTCCATTACTAATAAGTGCTTCAAAAGCCACAGTTCAAACAAATAGTTTCGTTTGCTTACTGTCAAAACAACTATTGCAGTGGTGGCAGTAAATATTGTCTGGCCATGCCCTTCTGGAAGATCGTGAACTGATTGCAGGGCAAGTGCAAAAGCCATAGCCCCTCGGAGCCCTGTAATGGATATTGTATATGAGTTTGAGCTGTCAAAAACTGTCTTATGTGCAAGAAATATGGAAAAAAAGGGAGATGAGTTTGCGTTGCAAATATATAAGAGCTGCTGAAGAAATCATATGCACTTACCACTATACCAAAGTGCTTTTTGATGCTTCATTGGTATTTTTCTATGCGCAGGTCTAACCAAATTCACCAAATAACCACAGCAGAACACATTTGCAGCTCTTCACGGAACAAGAAGAACAAGGTTTAGTAATTGTTCCCATATAATAACGAAAACACCAAAGGGGCAAAGTATTGGGTTGACAACATTTCTTTGCAAAAGAAAAATGGAAAATAAATCAAAAACAGCAAGACCAATGCCAATATGCAAAAGGCTAAGTAATCATACCTTGCAATACAGATGAAGACCTGGTTTAATTTAGAGTAAGTTAAGGAAAATTTTCATTTAATCTCCGCAAATTAGACAAGAAACGACTTATTCAGAATGCATGCAACTCAAGGATACAATTGAAAAAAAGATAAATCCAATATGAGACCAGCTATGCTGTTCCATGGCTATGTCAAATCCCATGTAAATAAATCTGCAAGACAAAAAAAAAATCTGAGAAAATGTGGCTGAAGACACAAACGAAACAACACACCAATAAATAACTGAATGATTGCTCACACAAAAGTCTCCGCCAATGATGATATCAGATGGAAAAATGCAGACACAAACTTCTGAGAATTGTCTGACAAGTTTGAGAAACTGTAGTGCTTCATAACCTAACACAAACAATCACACTAATTTGCTGCAATATGATATGGACAAAATATAAATACAAGACAAAACTTCATTAATTTCACTTACTATTCCAGTGAACAGTATAGATACGATACCCGAGAGACCAAGCCCTTCGGCTAGCATGTATCTAGATAAATATAAGATTGTAAAACACAAACTGAGAGTTAAAAGAAATCATAAAATGTATACTGATTCCATAGAATAAAAAGTAACAGTTCAAAATTATCTTACGAGAAATATGGGAAAAGAACAAACAAACAGCACTCCAAGTTTTGAAGACTGCACATGATATTGAAAGAAAATTAGTAAGTATTTCTTATATATTATTTACGGCAGGTGCTGGAACATTGAAATAATATGCTTACTTGTCAATATCCAGACCAGCATACTTGAAAAGGTACTGGAAGTTAAGGCTTCACAAACCTTGTTATGAGCTTAAAATCAGTGAGAGCAAGTGTTGGCAAATATATGAAAAAATATAAAAAGGATATTAAAGCAGAAGTGAATCCAACTCCGACCCCTGTAGATTAAGAAACAAATATAATTATTAGCCTGGATATGTGTGCTATTTCTGGCTAGATAAATGTACAGATACCAATGTTTTGTTAAGTTCTTAAATTGTTTTTTCCAATTTTTCTTTTTTGGGGAGGGCGGTGCAAGAAGTGCTGATACCTTAATGTCATGAAAATGAATTAAATCGATATTTCAAACATAAACTAGGAATCTAAACATGGACGGCTAGAATTACAGCAGGGTACTAGCAATAAACCTGCTGACATTGATCCAACGAAAGTCTCCAGAAATCTAATCACGACCATAAAAAGATTTTGATCCGATGACGAGTGACTCCTCACCAGTGACATCGTCCTACGAAAGCATAAATCAGGTTGTTAATGACTAAATGTGGTGCAAGAATATACTCATATGATGATAGCTGTGATTGACTAACCTGTACAAAGAAATTGCCATCTTCAAACAGCAAAATACACAATTAAACAAATATATGATAAATTAGTAACTCGTTATTTGAAAAGTATTGAAATTATTCCAAAAGGCATCCTCCATTTTAAGGAAATTAAAAAACCAGCAAAACTTACTGCATCATTCAGCACGGATTCGCCAAAGACCAAAGCGTACAGATTCGTATCTGTACCAAGCTCCTACAAAGACCATGTCAAGAGAATGTAGTTTCTAGTTACATATGATGCAAGGTCACTAGACTTGAAAATGAAGGAAACCATAACAGATCTTTGTTCTTTTTCCCATTATACAACTTGTAAAACAATAGGACATGTTGCATATAGAGAAAGTTAAAAAGTGATCAATCAATTCCAATATCAACGAAGAAAATGCAGTTTCCCCATGATTCAAACCCAATCTGATAGCAAGTGAATTAACACGGAACGTCACTTCTCTTAACCTCTATATGGTAAAATAAAGTGTTTTATTATCTAAAAAAGTTTTATACTACCTACTTATTGAAGGAAATGAGCATTTGTTTGTATCAAAATGCAACATTATCGATCAGTTTGATTAAAAAAACTTCATCCATAAAATAGACCACACAGGCTAAACATCTAACTACACCGGTAGGTTTGGAAATTAATTTCTTTATTGAGCACATACACTCTCGTTATTTACTTTCATGTACAAACATTCCGATACTTCCACAAGTTATGTAAGAGTTTAAACAAATAAGCCGATGGGAAAATAACATTGGTATCACAAGACTAAAACGGCTAATCACCTGAAATATGGACAGAACGGTGACAGGATCAGTAGCTGAGATGAGAGCACCAAACATCAGACACTCAACAAAAGGAAGTCTGTAGATTAGATATGTCGCTCCAGCAAGGTATCTGAATCCAGAAACATCGAACGATTAAGCAAGCGCAGAAGTGATGACATAGATATTCTTTTAAAAATACTTAAAAGAGAATAAGAAGCTGCTAACAGAAATATACTCACACTAAAACGCCCGTGACCACAGAAGCAAGAAAGGTTCCAAAAATTGCAAATGTTACTATGGCACCAAAGTTGGAAAAGAATGGTTTCTGCAAAGTAAAATTCATAAATGAAGCTACTTCATGTCATATAAAGATGACGGAAAAATAATGCAAACCAACGTTCGGTGTCTGTACGATTATGATAAACTAAAACTTTTGAATACTTACAGGTTGCAGACTGAATCCTGACTGGGTAAACACGGAAAGCAAGTTAAGGATATACTTTCTCTTGCGAACCAATGGAAAAATTAACAAAGCAAATTAGCTAATATTCATAAAGGAAGTCCAATGCGAAAGGATATAATATAATCGGCGGCAGCAAAAACAGGAAGAAGAACTCCTCGTGGAAGTTGAACCATGACCTACCAAACCAAAATAAATAAACAGTAAAATAAGATTACATAATCCTCAAAAAATAAATAATTAGAAAGTAATTAATTGTATGGCAAAACCTGATGCTATTCTCTGTATTGGAAATATTCGCCAGCACCCCCACAATTAAACCTGTATTCCACATTCACATTTTCCATTAGATTACGCATACATTTAATAGCAAAATTGAGAATAATAAGTGATCATTAGAATTTAGGGCAGAAGTAAATATACCGATCAAAAGCGAAGCACTGGCTTCAGGAAGATAATAGAACCGATGACGACGAAGGACGTGGCCGAGGACAAAGGAGAGAACGAGCATCATAATCTGAAGAAGAATACCGACGCCGGCCGCTTGCTGCTCTTTCGCCGGACTTCCCCTCGGATCGGCCGGAGATATCCGCAACTCTTCCATGCCGATTCCTCGGTTGGCAATTTGCTCTTCGTCAACCAATAGATGAACGTATCAACCGAATCGACAATCACGAGATAAATTTCTATAGCACTCACCACTGTTGAGTGCTGATATTTTTAAGGGCTTTTCGTCTTTTTTTTTTCTGGTTCGAGACTTTAGTGATTTTGTAGAACTGGACTTGTTAATCTTACACTTGTGTTTCCTGCAATTTTACGCCTCTTGCATAGTACGCTTTTGGTATTTTTTATTCTAGGTTTTATTTAAGTACTCGTTGATGGTCAACCGTGTTAATGATTCCAGTCCCTGTATTTCATTCTATTTCTCAAATTAGTCCTCCAAGTTTGATATTTAAAAACCCCTATAAATTGGAATTCTATGGGGGTTTTTGGGTTCAAAATTTGCACAGTTCATACCCCTATTTGGGCATGGATTGGG